ACAGTATAGCTGACAAAGGCCTAACATCTAAGATCTACAAGGAACCCAAACCCGCTGAAAGGAAAAAAAAACAAACAGCCCCATTAAAAAGTGGGCAAAAGACAATAGACACTTCTCAAAAGAAGATATATGAGCAGCCAACAGACACGTGAAAAAGTGCTCAACCTCACTCATCATCAGAGAAATGCAAATCAAACCCGCATTGAGATACCACCTCACCCCAGCAAGAATGGCCATCATTAATAAAACAAACAACAACAGATGCTGGTAAGGATGCAGAGAAAAGGAACTGCTTCTACACTGCTGGTGGCAATGCAAACTAGTGCAACGTTTTTGGAAGACAGTGTGGCGATTTCTGAAAGAACTAGAAATTGACCTTCCATATGATTCAGCAATTCCCCTATTGGGAATATACTCGGAAGAACTCAAATTATTCTACCAAAAAGATACCTGCATACGTAGGTTTGTTGCAGCTCTATTCACAATAGCAAAAATGTGGAACTAACCGTGCTGCCCACTGAAGCTTAACTGGATTTTTAAAAATGTGGTACATATACACAATATAATATTATGCAGCCATAAAGAAGGACAAACATATGGACTTTGCAGCAACTTGGATGGATTTAGAGTTGATCATACTCAGTGATCTATCACAGAAACAAAGAACAGAGTACCATATGTTCTCACTCATAAGCGGACCTTGAACAATTATCATAATACTACAAGAAAGGGATTGGCAGTAGTGGGAAACTGCCAGGGGAGGGGGGCTGGGATTAGCAGTTGAGGGAAACTGCCAGGGGAGGGAGGGGCATACCTCATCAACAAGGGTACCTGCAAAATCAACGTTTGTATACCTAACCCTGAATTGTACACCACATCTTTAAAATAAAAATAAAATAAAATTTCTGCTCAGAAATGATACATATTATCATCACTCATGTCTCACCAGCCAAAGTAAGTCCTATGGCCCAAGCCAATCATGGGAGATCAGCCTTCAGTAGGGTGAGAGAGTATAGTCTTCTCACAGTTATGGAGGGTAGATAAGAAAGAACAGAAAATGTTTTGACAATAACAAGCTACCACAAAGGGAATGGAAAATGGCTAAAGCAGAGCTTTCTTTCCTTCTGTAATGACACAAGAAGGTATCCTCTTAATAAAAGCAGTCCCTGGCCTAGCACAGTGGCTTACGCCTATAATCCCAGCACTTGGGGAGGCTGAGGTGAGAGGATTACCTGAGCCCAAGCGTTCAACACCAGCCTGGGCAACTTGGTGAGACCTCGTCTATACAATAAATCAAAAAAATTGGCCAGGCATGGTGGTGCACACCTGGAGTTCCAGCTACTTGGAAGGCTATGGCAGAAGGATCACCTGAGCCCAGCAGGTCGAGGCTGCAGTAGCCATGAGCATGCCACTGCACTCCAACCTGGGTGACAGACTGAGACTTTGACTAAAAAAAAAAAAAAAAATTCCTTCCATTTCTATGGTATGCTTAGTATAACATAGATTACAAAATGGCGCCCAAATGAGAATAAAAGGCTTAGTTAGCATCAAAGACCCTCTATCTGCTTTTTCTGGCCTTAATTAGCTGTGTACTCCTTCTCTTCTGGCATTCTATAAAACTATAATTCTAGCCTTTTTCCAGAATGAGATCCTCCCTTACCACCTCTCTCTTTCTGTTCAAACTGTTTCTTCTACCTAGAGTGTTCCCTAAGCACAGCCCCCAACACTGCTCAAAGATCCTGTTCAGACAATCAAATAAATACATCATCAGGATCACAAAGATGTTCACCACAGTATGCTTTACAATAATAAAAAGCTAAAAACAACAAAATGCCCAGTAACAGGGAATGTTATAGACCACATACACATAGAATGCTATATGTCAACAACAAAAATGATGTCAATTAATATTTATTGGTGTAGCATCATCTCAATATATTGTCAAGTGAAGACTTCAAAACAATAGTTATAACTTGACCCATTTTGGAGGTATAAAAAAAAACATATATTTAATCTAATCATAGAAAGTATGGCAGAATCTAAAACAAAAAACCACCACAATGTTCATAGTGTTATCTCTAGTTAGAGACAATACTGATGAGCTTTTTATTTAATCATTTAAATGTTTTTAAAGTTATTTCCAATTAGCAATGTTAACTTTTATAATTTGATAAATTACTTTAATGAAAAAGCATTAATCGTGAAATACCTAATTCACACATCATCTGCTCCTGAAACCCTCCCTGATGTAGCTCACTCTTCTTGCCAACCAAGTAATTTTTCTCTCTCTCCTATTTCCTGAATATTTTACATATCTTTTATAACATCTACCACATTCAGCTTCATATTATAGTTTTCATTTTCAGGCTTGATTATCAACTCCTAAAGTAGAATAAACCTGCCTTATCTGTACTAGAATCCATCTTCAAAACTGTGACTCCCAAGTATCCAGCAGTTTGTTGACATGAATATAATGCAAGGCTGTAAAATTTCCACATCTGAAGACTATACACTTAGCAGCTTTCTAATAAAAAAATTGATCTATATTAAGGATGTTCAGAAACTACACAGGGCCCATAAATAAGAATGACATATGTGCAGTAAAACTTTCTATTTTAGTTATTATTTCAATATTTGCTTTCAAAGTTACCAAGGACACCCTAATTTAACTTGATTAAGTCAAAGGTCAATATTTCATAATCCAAAGGCAAATCTTTCAGGTTTTAACTGAGCTTCCTCTTTAAATTAACAAGAATTACTTTTGCAATAATCTGAATCTATCCCGGACTCAGCAAGAACTATAAGCACCTTTTGCTTTAAGAGGAAATAAGGGAAATGAATGTTTTAAGATTACATAAGTCTGATTTAAAGAATTTACACAAACCAATGTTTTGAAATATCCGAGGTATTTTTTCAAGTTCAATAAAGAATGTTTTTGAGAACTAGGTGGGTGAGATTTAAAATAAAAACAACCAACACAATCTTAGCTGTTACTTAGCAATTTCAGGCTTCAATTGTTCCCTTCTAAAGGGCATGTTAGAAAACTAAAGGAGCTGCTTCTAGAAGCAACACCAAGATACCTGATCCAGTTTCTTTTTCTTTTCTCTTCTCCATTTTGCTCCCTAAGATTTTAATCAAGCTAAGACCAACTTTAAAACTCCCCAGGTTTTGTTTTGTTTTGTTTTTTTTCCTCTCTCCCTGGAGGCAATTCGCTTTCCATTAAAACTTAATTTTTAAAGCAAAAGCTACAAGCAATGCTTAGTCAGGAGGAACCCTGACTGCTTGTTCCTACAGTGCTATTACCTGAAGGAATTCAGATTTAAAGGAACACAGGGAAGGGAGAGAAGGAAGTTCAAAGGGAAGTGAGCAGACAGATCTATCTCCAAGTATTATCACTCAACAGTCAGAGTAGGCAAAGGATGCCAAGGGTCAGTTAAGAAGCTGAGTCAACAGGCCAAGAACTCCAGTCACACACTTAAGAAAGTAGGTTTAAATTCTAAATTTGTCTTGGCATTTAATTTCAATTCCAGAAGCTATGTGAGCATAACAACTTGGGTTACACCAAGAACTGATTTCAAATCTAAACCCTGTTTTCATCCACCAACCAACATCTTACCACTAGGGCTGAGACAGATAATTGAAGAATTATGGCTCAGAAATCTCTTCACAACAGGAAGCCTACAATTAGTGGTGTGTTAGAGCCAGCTTAGACCAGTCCACTAGAACCAATTAAGTTATCAAGATTTTTGGCAAGCTGGTTGTTAAACTAGTCATCATTAAAAGCTAAATTATATAAATTTAAGATTAAAATAAATTATACTAAAAACAAAGGTAATAAATACTCCAAACTCATCACTTTCCAATTATTTTTCTGTCATCTATGCTCTTGAGGTTATTTGCAACTACTGTATCTGGTGGGTAGAAAACTACACATCACACCACTACCCCACATCACTTCCCAGCTCTGCTTTTGGTAACTTACTGGTAATATAGAATCAGCCATGATAGGAGTATTTATACCACAGGACCCGGCAAACCCTACAATCCCTCCTTCCTACATTGCCAGTTTGTTAACATCTATCTACATACACTACTGACAATGTTAAACACCACTGCTTAACAATAGCTAAGGAATTTGAGCTGGCCAATATTTTGAGTCAGAATAAAGGCCTGCAAATAGTAAATCATGATATAAATATAAGGAAGGACAGTAACTACAATTTATTGTAGCCCTATAATGTACCAGTCATAGCACAGAGTACTTTCCAGTCTTTCATTTCATGAGAGGTATTACCAAATCCAATGTACATATGAGTCAACTGAGGTTTTCAGAGTTTGAGTAACTACTAAAAAGCACAAGATAAAGAGTCAGCCTAGAAATGTATGACTCAAAAATATATGATCTTTCCACTAAGTTACCCCATGAACTAACATTATCATTATCATAATGAAACCAAAACCAACCACATGTAACTGTCAGATAATTAACAAGCATTAATGACCTCTTAAGTATAAAAAATTGCATACATGAAGAGGGATATGGAGATACTGTAGACAAAGAACTCCATTTTAATTATATTCGCCAAATTTGTTCATATTTATTTCAAAATATACACACAAAAGATACCTCAGTGACAAATAGAGCTCAAGGAGCCACTGGAACCAAAAAACTGCATGTCAGAAGGGCTATTCCAAGTTCAACTTAAATACTAACCTTGCACAGGGAATCCTCTTTTAATATTTCAAATACTTATCTATCCACCTAACTGATGCACCCAACTTACAATGACTCTCCCCACCGAGAAAGAATTATATGCAAAAATAAAATTTCTGAAATGTTAGCATCAATTGTCTAAAGTGTTTGGATATTTACTTTTTAAAACATTTTGTCTTTCACAAGTTCACATTATTTGATAGTGCTATCCTTTTACCATGATGCCTTAAGGAAAATTTACCTGGTAATTAAAAGAATTCCAAAGGGCTAACACTAATTTACTTACAGATTATTTAAAAACTTTCTTGTCATCTTGGCTTCCTATAAGCTACCAGCTTCTCCTGTTGTTCCAGTACGTTTCCATCACCTGTCATGAGAAGAAAGCAACCAATTGGTTTTATGTCTCATAAAGGCCATTTCTTGGTTTCATATTAGTCTTTTCTTTATACCCCAAACACAGAGAAAAATACAGATGTCTCTTTCTTTTCTAAAAACAAAAAGGAAAGAGAAAATATAACACAGAAAATCACCCTAAGAGAAAATAATTGAAAGAGTAGTACATCCACTGTTGGGCACTGAAGTGGAGAACCCTTAAATACTCGCTGTTATGTTTTCAGGAGGAGATTTTTTAGTTTCTTTCCTAGGAGGGAACAGTATTAGAATAACCCACTTTCTCTCTATCTCTCCTCTCCACGCCCTACTTACTTCTCAGAAGTGAGGGACGAATTTGCCTGGAGGACTAGATGATGAGGTGCCCACTGAGTGCTCAGCCACTACTATGAGCAGGTGACAAGGCCTCCCTCCTTCCAGGTCTTTCCAGCACCTAGTTTTTCTCAGCAAACAGGATGATGGCCCCTGATTCTGAGAGGGCCAGCCGGCCCTGTGTTCCAGCTTCTCTCTAGCTGTTACTGGAGGGCTGGTAAGCTTGCTGGGGTCAAATCCATGTCTTAGTTTCAGAGAAGGAGGTAACTGGCACTGCTGGGGTCTCCACTCCTGCTTTACCAGCAATGAAGCTACTAGCTATGCTGATTCCCATTTGAATCATTGCTCCATTTCTCAAACTGTTTAAAATTTATAGAATAAGAAAGTTCAATAATCAAGCAACCCAAACTACCACCATCTCCCAAAGGACACCACACACAAATTTTAAAAAAATCCTTGGTCCAAAATCCTACCACTCATTAGCCATGTGACCTCGGGAAAAACTATTCCTCTTTCCCAGCCTCAACTACTGCACCTCTAAAAGAAGACCAAATGTTTCCCATAATACCTGATGGTAGTAAGGATTAAATAAGATGAAAGTTATAACCTGCCAAAGTCAAGCATGCTTTGATCCAACCAAGCCATTATCCCAGGACCAGGGACACCCAATGCTTAATGATCAGAATTGCTACACGGTCCATATGACCCATTCACTGAAGAGTCATACAATTCATGGAATGATGGATATGCCCAACAAAATTCCTTCCATTCACCAGGAAGAAGTCATTCAGAATCATGTTTTGATTTTGTTTTTATTTCTTAACATTTTAGGGTCAACAACCTAGATATAAGACTTTCTGCTTTCTTTCCCTTCAAAGAAGGGCCCTAAATGAAAATATACCATTTCTACCAGGTAGATTGCAACTACTATTCATTTTATGTGAATAGCATGTGCTTCCAAGAAGACAATACAGATAGAACAGGAATCTAAATTAATTTTAATAGCCTGAAGCCTTAATGTTAATTCAGAGAGGAGTTTAACAATAATTGTGACATGGCTCCACTCATGCGCTGAGGTATCACGGGAGACAGTGTTACCTCAGTTACCTGAAGAATAGCCAGAAACCTCAAGTTACCCAAATCATGAAGGGTAGTGGGGGTGATATTAAGAAGGGAGAAGATGGAACAAGCACCACATAAATCTTGACAGCTTCCCTAGCAATAAAGAAAGAACTTGCCAGTATCAATAAAAATAGCAGGGAAAGCTAAGGAGTCAAAGATCTGTAGCTTATACCCAACACTGAGAGGGAACAAGCTCACTGGCTATTATGGCTTTATATGCCTGGTCACATGGCATGAAAGCCTTTTAAAAGCATGAGAAACACAGTACGGTTTGATACAGGTTTAAATCCCACCAGTGCTATTTCACAGCAGTGTGATCTTTGCCAAGTAATGTACACCTTCTAACGTTCAGTTTCCAAGTCTGTAAAATACGGACAATAATACACACCTTGCAGAGTAGTTATGTAACTCAGAGATGATGTATGCACAGTGTTCATCTTACAATAGGTTCCCAAAAGATTGCAATTGATCTGCTTACTAGTATAATTATGGTAGAGAAGCTTTTAAATTCATGGTTACAATTGCAATTATGGTATGCAGTACATTAAATTCATGGACTCTTTCCCTATGAGAACATTTTGAAGACAGGTTCAAAGCATAACTTTTGACAACATAAATCTTTTCTAACTTGATCTGAATGGAGTGTAAAATCAAATCTCCATCCGAGTTAACAGCCTTTACTCACATGTACAAACAGAAAGCTCTATCTATGCATTTATTAGCATTCTTCATGTCAGTACTGAGTTTCTTTTTTTGAAAGGAGGGAATGAATAACTTAAATCAGAGCTAGCTTATCTAGTACACTGTGTAATGCTGGGCATTCCCACACTGTGTAATGCTGGGCATTCCCACTCGATGGGCATCTGTGGGAAACAAAGGCCTCACTGAAAATGGCAGGCAGCCTGTCACCATGGCTGTCCTCACACGACATTACAGCCTCATCAGCAACAGTAAGGATCTGTTAGCTATGTGCAAACACAACAAAAAATAAAAAAGACCTACCAGGTGAGACTATAAAACATTAAAACAGAAGTGCCAGAACTTTATATCTAAAAAAAAAGTACTCCTTGATCCCTTCCCCAAGACAACCTCTTTGTGACTCACTCCAATGATACTGATTGCCCAGAATAAGTGGTACCTTCTGGAGGTACTACTGTATCTTCAGAACCAGTAAACAATGTTCACAATAAAATATGTTTCATTACAGTTTAGTTACCCCCGATTTTTTTTTTAAAGATGTGAGGTGCAATTCAGGGTTAGGTAAATAAGTGGTTACAGGTAAAGTTTGGGCCTCCCTTTGTTCCCCACTTTGTTGGTTTGAAATCAGGTACCCTTTTTTTTCTTGTTTTAAAATCTTTTTTTAAATATATATATATATATATATACTTTTTTTTTTTTTTAATTTTTTGAGTTGGAGTCTCACTCTTGTCGCCCAGGCTGGAATACAGTAGCACACTCATGGCTACTGCAGCCTCAACCTGCTGGGCTTAGGCAATCCTTCCACCTCAGCCTTCCAAGTAGCTGGAACTACAGATACACGCCACCAGGCCCAGCTAGTTTTTGTGATTGATTGTAGAGATGATGTCTCACCAAGTTGCCAAGGCTGGTCTCGAATGCCCAGGTTCAGGCAATCCTCTCTCCTCAGCCTCCCAAAGTGCTGGGATTACAGGCTGAGCCACTGTGCTCAGCTTTAATATATTTTAAAGATGTGGGGTACAACTCAGGATTAGGCATACAAGTGGATACCATACAGGTAAAGTTTAGGCTTCCCTTTGGTCCACACTTTGCTTGGTTTGAGATCAGGTACTCTTATTGATGTTATGTGTCCATCCCCACCCCAGCAGTGTTCCACTACTGCCAATCCCTTTTTTATAGTATTATGGTTACCCCTGATTTTTTAAGCAAAAAGCACTTTATTCACTATAATGGAAAATATTGTAATTGATTAGCTCAGAAAATCAAATTCATCCTCAAAGATGGTAATTTACCACTACTGTGGTTATTCAATAGAATTATAAGCAACTTTAACAACCAACTTTATTGAACTACCCATTAGATAGAAGACACCGTGCTAAGGACTAGAGGTAAAAGGGGTTTATGATGATTGAGAGGAAGTTCATTTTTTAAAAATGCAGAACAAAGGCAGAATCACTGGAATATAAGCAATTTATTGAGCTGAAGCTCTTAAAGAAAACAATCTGGATGTGTAAATCCTGGCTACGATTGTTAAAAGTCCAGACCTTCCTAATCATGCTTCATACACAATTTAAGATTCCACAAGAGTCACCCAAAAACCTGGCTAAAAAGAATACACTCTTCGCCAGGCTCGGTGGCTCAGCCTGTAATCCCAGCACTTTGGGAGGCCAAGACTAGTGGATTGCCTGAGCCTGTGGGTTCAAGACCCATCCAGTCAATTTGGGAGACCTCATCTCTACAATAAATCAAAAATTAGCTGGGCATGGTAGCGCATGCCTGTAGTTCCAGCTACTTGGAAGGCTGAGGCAGAAGGATCACCGGAGTCCAGCAGGTCGAGGCGACACTCTAGACACTCTAGTCTGGGCGAAAGAGTGAGACACCAAAAAAAAAAAAGAATATGCTCTTTTTTAAAAAAAGATTTTTTTTTTTTTTTTTTTTTTTAATAGAGATGAGGTCTTACTATGTTGCCTAGGCTGGTCTAGAATTCCCACCTTGGTCTCCCAAAGTGCTGAGGTTACAGGCATGAGCCTGTACATTTGGCACCCAGAATACACTCCTTTTTGAATGTACACTGTATCTTCTAGGGCAAGGTCAAGTCTGCTCCCTCCAAGTGGAAGGAAACCGGTTGGCATCAAAATCAAGACATGTAAGGTCTAACATGACACTAAGGATAGAAAAGTGGGGGAAAGATCTCATGCCCATGACACAGGATTGTTTTGGATTCTTAGTCTCTTTCTACCAAGGAGCAAATTCAGGGGGTCTACATCTCCTCTATGGAAGACAGTATCCTGCGGTCACGAAAAGTATATGCTTTGCAGTCACATAAAACTGCATTCTGCAAGTTAGCCTTAAGCATGTTGTTGAATTTCTCTAAGCCTTAGTTTCCTCATCTGTTAAGCAGGTGTGATGTCAGGAAAACTATATGCTGTTACATGAGTCCAAAGGCATAATGCCTATACTAGTTTAATAAAACTCACAGCAAACAGTGACTGCTCATTAAATGTGGAAAAAGTACACTATCCTCATCCTTAACTAGCAAAGCAAGTACTACAGTAAAGTCAACAAAAAAGGAAGTATTCTCCTAAGCTCAAATATGTTCCAGTCCACTTCACCAGGAAACCAAAAAAGGACTTGGGGTGACATTTCACACAGTAACAAAGGACAAGCTTTCTGCTCCTACATCTGTGCATGTATCCTGGGAGCAAAGTGAGAGTGGCAGCAGCATTCAGAGGCCTGTTGATCAGTGGAAAATTCAGATATGTTAACACGAGCCACACAGAAACAAAACAGTAGCTTGCTCAGGATTACTCAGGTAATAAGTGGGAGGAACTGGGATTCCAGCCCAGG